TTAAACACTAGATGTGAGCTGCATGAGGCAGAGTGGATAAATCACTATTCTAACAGACATGCTCAGTGCAGCCCTTTTCCTGGTTTTTTTTTTGTTTTTTTTTTTTTTTTTTTTTTTTTTTTTTTTTTTTTTTTTTTTTCCTTGGTAATGTAAAGTAGATTATAAAGAATAACCTTAATTTCAAATAAAAGCAGGAGCAGGCTGTTCCTGAAGGACTGTACCCTGTGGAAAGGGACCACATTGGAGAGTTCATGAAGAGCTGTACCCTGTGGGATGGACTCAGACTGAAGAAGTTCATGGAGAACTTTCTCCCCTGGGAGGAACCCCACACTGGAACAGGGAAGGACTCCTCTCCCTGAGCAGGGGCAGGAACAATGCATGATGAACTGATTGTAACCTCTATTCCCTGTCTCCCTTTGCTGGTCACAGGGAGGAGGTAGAGGAAAGGAGGGAATGGTAGCGGGGAAGATGTTTCTGAGATTTGTTTTAYTTCTCATTATCTTCCTCTGATTTTYATTGGTAATAAATTCAGCTAATTTCCCCAAGTCTGTTTTGTCTGTGATGGTAATCAGTGGGTGATCTCTCTCAGTCCTTATCTCAAATCACCAGCTCTCAKTTACAATTTCTCTCCCCCATCTGGTTACAGAGAGCAGCTTTGGTGGGTACCTGGCATCCTGCCAGGAGCAGCCCACCACACTCCAACTTTGCAGCTTCAACTGTTGTATGCAGAAATTGCTTATACTCTCAAAAACCCAAAAAAGGATTTGGGAATTTATTTTGAAAACAGGGAAAATTAAACTAGAAATTGGAAGTTTTAAATGTGTTGCCCTTGGCACACCCATTAATTTTCTATAAAGATATTTATAGCCAATCTATAAAGACATTTCATAAAGTGGAACTTCAAATTATTATTTCCTTACAGAGCATTCTATTGACTTCAGCATTGTGGCTCAAGCTAGCTTTAATATACCAATGGGTCATATTACAACCTGAGGTAAACTCAAAATGTCAAAATGAGACCTAAAGATCTAGAAGTAATCTGTATTTCTTAAAAAATAGTAGAAAGAAAAAGGGACCCAGTTACACAAATAGCCATACACTAAGGAATTTAAAATGTTCAGGAGGATCAAGAGAGGAAGAAATAAAATGCATTATATTCTGAATTTTTTGTTTGAAAAATGCTRTTGTTTGGTCTGTGACACTATGCATTAAGAGTAAAACTATAGGGAGAAAAAACATAATGTTCAGAAATTAATTACTATTAATTCCCAGCAATATCTAAATCAGTTACTGATTAATTTCTACCTATCTCTGTACATAAAAATTAAACATATTTTTAAGTATCTCTAACCATACCCCTTTTAATCAAGGGTTTAGGCATACAGCTTGCTCTAAAYGGAAAATGGGCTTTGCTTGCCCTGAATAGAATCAGATGTCTCTTCTGACTTTAACTACTAAGTGGCCAGCATGCAAAAGAAAGACCTCAAATCAAAATCTCTTAATTAAATAAAGACTCATGACTGTTCCAGTAAGGTACTGGTAATTTTAAACCTCCAAACAATTTGAAAAAAATGACGGATAAATATGAGAGAGGAATATTATAATTTCCAAATATTGCATCTTTTTAACAAACACATGCTTGTCAATAAGAGTGAAATTCAGCACCTTTAAATCAGGCATGAGTACTGAGCCACATGGAAGGCAATAAAACTAACCTTTAATTTCTGCCATTAGTAATCTGAAGAAAACCTTTTGAGCAGACRACAGGCCATGGGTTGACCCAAGTCTTGCACACAAGGAAATATATCCCAGTGGTTAGTTAAGAAAGTTCACACTGTTGTTTGACCTACTGGGAGAAATGCTCTATGTCTGTGTAAGCATACACTGATTTTAACATCACTTTTACTAATTCAGGATTCTTTTACAGTCTATAATTAAAAAGACACATTTCTATGTTCTATGTATAATGTTATATCTCAAGAAAATTCAATTCCTTCTTAGTTACCTAACACATGGATCAATGCAGGCCAAAAGTTGCTTTCGTCTAGTCTATCTTCTGTCCCTATTCAAGTCATTCCAAGAGTCACACCATGTGCCTGAGCGCATTGTACAAAYGCTTCTTAAAGTCAGACAGAGTGCYGCTTCCCTGGGGAGTCTGTTCCAGTGCCCAACCACCCACTGGGTGAAAATATTCAACCTAAACCTCCTCCKACTCAACTTCATGCCATTTCCATGGGTCTTGTCACTGGTCATGGGTACTGAAATGATGGGTACCTGCCCCTGCTCTTCCCCTCGTGAGTACAGAAGACCGCAGAGAGKTSTCCCCTCAGTCTCACATTCTCCAGGCCAAACAGAAAAAGTGACCTCAGACACTCCTCATACCGCTTCCTTTCCAGACACTTCACCACCCTCATTGCGCTCCTCTGGACACTCTCTAGCAGTTTAATGTCTTTCTTTCATTGTGTCCCCCAAATCTGCCCCCAGCACTGGAGGTGAGGCYGCCCCAGGTCAGAGCAGAGCGGGACAATCCCCTCCCGTGCCCGGCTGTGATGCTGTGCCTGATGCCCCCCAGGACACGCTTGGCCCTCYTGGCTGCCAGGGCACAATGGCTCATGTTCAACTGGCCACTGRCCAGGACCCCCAGGTCCCTTTCCATGGTGCTGTTCTGCATCATCTCATTCCCCAATCTGCACACATAACCAGGGTTGCTCTGTATAGGACCTTACACAGAATATACACCTTAARAGACTTCATTTTTTGCAGCTGTGAAAGACAAACCCTACCTGTATCATTATAGCTGTCTGCTGCACTGYATCAAATCACACAGTTCTGGAGACATCTAATGAAAATATTGCTGAACTCCCAGGAGCATTATGACTTTTCACAAATTACTGGGACCCATAACTGTTATGTTTACAGTATGTCAACCRTTTTAGGTAAATGGTAGTCTGCAGCTCCTACTGCAAATGAACAGAAATAATTTCTAAAACAATATTTGCTCTTCTCTGAAGTTTACACACACTTCCTATACTTACAGAAATAAGTTTATTCACACAAATGTTACAGAGAAAGAATGCTCCACTTGCTCTTCTATAATGCTCTGGTTTCCCAATTTTTTAAAAAAATCTTTATGGAAGCAATAGGAAGATCATTGTTTTTAAAAAAAGATTCACCATTTACTGAGGCTAATCCCATACTGTTTACCATTGTGGACTGCTTATGTAGTATCATCTATTGCTGTGACAGATAGCAAAGCAATTGCTGTCCTATAATATATAATTAGGGCAAATCTAATATTGTTTTAATGCAGTACCTCTACCGTCCCAAAGATAAGACTGTCTAACAGGGATATACTGAGACAATAATACTTTGAATGGCTTTAAATTTAATGCACCCATTTTTCGCTGTGAGGAACACACCATGAGCATTTATATTTTTATTGTTTTGGTCATCCTCAAATATGCAGTAATTGTAAACATTTGACAAAGTTGATGAAGAAACTGAATGCTGAAGAATATGGAAAATACAAAGATATTTATGCCTTAAAAATTATTCTACCATTTGAGGGTACATAAGGAAAGGGTTAGTTTAACTGAAATGACTCAAGGACACTAGTGCTAGCATATTTGTCCATTCTTAAGCCACAGAGACAATTAAGAAACAACAGCAGTCTTAATACTTTTAACAGTTCAGCTGCCTTCAGCCTTCCCAGTAAGAATTGTCATGAGAATGCAAATGAGTTTRTTTTAGTACTAGATGATTAGGAACTCTCCTTCTAAAGGAAAGTTTTCTTGAGACAAACTAAGCTTCATATTTGGACTGAACCAGAAATCAGCCTGCTGCTAAGTTCTGGGCCACTACATGCAAAAGACTTTGTATCTTCCATCCAGATTTCTCTGCTTCCAGTTAAGTTTCTGAAAGATTTAAAATCAGAAAACAAGATTAAAATTAGTCTGTCTCATTAGGCAACCCAGAATTTTGAGAAGCATGCCCTTGGCTGAGGTCAAGAGATCTAAATAATTGCCTTCTTCAGGTCACAAACGCGATAAGCCCAGTAACTACCTACTCTGTTTCATTTACCTCTGGCTCACAACCAAAAATCAAAGAGAAATGGACCAGGCAGGAAAGCTTCCAAAGAAACATAAAGTGGTTGAAATACACTAGAAAGCCAACAACACATCAAGTTTACATAGATTTTCAGGTGACCTTGCAATGAAACACGAATCTACGCTCATCTGCTTTTGAGACTTAGGTGTGGTCAGAACTTAACAGAGATTGTGCAAAAGTCCTTCCCTTCATTAGCCTGCAGCCTACGTGACATTCAGAAGAATAAAGTCTGATGTAGGTAGAGTAAGTAATGTAACAGGAGCAATGATATAGCAGCAATGTATAAATAAAAGCATAAAGGTAATATAAAACAAATTAGAAGGCAAATAAATTGGTTGAATCACCAAGAGATCTCTATGCCCTCTGAAGTGAAGGGTTAAAAAGCCCCAGTTTCTCACTAATAAAAAGTTAGGATGCTAAGGTCCGAGGAGATGTAGCAGCCTGCTTAGTCCTACAGTAGGAATGGCATGTTTTTCACTTTAGTACCTCATCTACTGTGGGTGTGTTTTACAGGCAGAAATAATCCTCAAAGATAATGTAATTTGATAGACCTGGAAAACTTTAGTGTATCCAAATTAAAAGCCATAACATTGTTTTCTTAAGGTGCTCCAAATCAGATCTGCTACTGCAGCTAATTACACAGAATGTTTCAAAAACTGATAATAAAATCCTCCAAAAGATCCCCAAGGAAGCAGCATAAAGTGAGAAAATAATCTTTCAAATTATACATGTCTCCCCCACCTCCCCTCCAAAAACCAWAAAAAAAAGTTCAAGAAATTAATATAAGCAAATGGAAACAGATGATTAAAACAAAGACCCTAAGGAGGAGGAGAGGGAGTGAGCATGTGAGAGAGATCTGAGGAAAGGCGTTAAGGCAGAGCTTCTCTCCTTACTTGGCACAAGCCACTGATGCACATGTCCAGGGATTCAGTGTAGCACCGCGTGCCATCCAGAACTTTTGGTGCCAGCTCCACAACCAGAGATGTTCCTCTGGCCTGGCATTTCAGCGAGCAGGGGTTGTCAGGATCATTAGAGACGGGAAGCCATTCATAAAACTGCCCCTGGTACTTGACGTCGTTGTGAGCAGAGCACTGCTGGGCACGAAAATCACCTGCTTCTGGTGGACAGTCCTGCAGAAAGAAAGAGGAGAAGATCAGCAGGTCTGTTCAGGACWGCCAGTTGCAGTATCATGCAGCTGGCTGGGTTCCACAGCTGCCAGATGTGGAGAGTTTCTGTTTAGACAAAAAAGAGCGATTGAAATAGCTACAGCTACACATAATTCAACAGATAATTATACCTTTCTTTCTTCTTTCCATGAAAGTATTGCAGGAACACCAAGACCATATGTAAATGGGAAATAAGAAATGCACYGTACATGTCTTAACCACAGCCTCGTGCTCTTGCTGGATTTCATTCTACTTGTGCACATATGTGTAGAACTGTGTGTGTGTGCAGTCACTCTCTTCCAGATTTTCCCCTTTGTTTGAGGAGAAAGAAGAAAGAACTATGTGATTTAATTGCTTCTTTATTTAAGCTCTTCTAACTTGCCTTTTTTTTTTTTTGCCTCAGTGACCTAAATCAGTTGGTATGGCAACAAGAATCAGAAACTCAGAAACTTTTGATATATATTTGCATTTCTTTAACCTAAGACTTCATAATTCACCTAACTAGAGACTTACAACTGAGAAGACCTAAAAAAGCTCCTTTTTTAATTCTTCAGGAGATTTGTGAAATGTATAAATCTAACTCTCAACTCAGTCTATCTGATATAAAAACCAAAGACCGGTCATACTACTCAAAGTACCTTGTTGACAAGAATGTTAGGCTTTTCTTATGCATATATACTTTGTTGCTACCATTTAACACTGGAAAACATTAGATAGGTTCTCAAGAGAGCRAGAAGAGCTTTAAAATCATAAGCCTTCAGGCAAAACAAACATGTGTTCTTTTATTTCCTTTCCAGTTTTTGATCCTTGAAGAATGGTATTTCAAGTTTTCTTGTGCAAGCAACCACAAAGGCTAGAGATTCACTAGGGTTTTTTAGAAGTAACTTGAATTTTTCTCATMATTACAGGAATATAGGAGCTAAGCTTTAGGGAAAACATTAAACATCATAAGAATTGAGACAAAAAAAAACCCCAAATGTTGGCAATGTGACTGCCTCAGATTATTAAGATCCCATAGTCCTCCACCTTACTGCCATAAGGAAATCTACTCCTTGATGAAATCTGGTAAAATACCAGATGAAATGAACAGTTGCTACACCCTTTGTGTGGGGACAACAAGATTTTTTTTTAACAGAGATTCCTAAACATTGATTATAGACTTGGTAGGAAAAGGGGTTGATRTATACACAACCGTGTAACTAGACAATGTCCTTATAAGATATTTCTATTTTCTGTTTCACCTCAAAATACTTCATCTAATTACAGGATCATTAATGACAATCTTATTCACAGACATCTTATACTCACAGTGAGGAAAGTGTTATTGCTGTGGAGAGAAAATATCTCCTAGGTTTAAAAAATCATCTATGTTTCTCAGATCTTTTTCTACCCCTTAACTCACTAATGGTTTTCTGCATCTTTTTAAGAGGGCAGACTATAACAGCTTTGGGTTTGAAAGACATGGAGGCTGCGTGTCACTTCATTACATTAATGGATCATTTTTATTAAAATCTAAATTAAAGTTATTTTTTATTGAAATCTAAAATAAAACCTTTCTTAAGTATCAAATCTGGTCAAAAATCTTGGCTATAAATCTGTCATTTGTAAGCCGTTGGCTTAAACCCCATTCTGGCCTCTGATTCATCACTGCAATGTGGTTTTGGCCATCTTGTTTGAATGTTGAATAATCTTGGATCACAACTCCAAACATTTCTTGAACTATACACACATCTAAGCCGTGGCCTTAGCCACAGATTGTCATCTCATTTGCTTTGTACCATGTGAGTAAATTTTCAATCAATTCACTTTATATTTGATCCTGATGCACCCCAAAAGTAAAGGGTCAAACTCCAGTCAAAAGTTCTGTGATCTGAGTACATGGCAATAGTCTTCCTGTTACAAAAGGTTCAATGGATTAGGGCATAAAAGAAAAAAGGATGTGGGTTAAATTTAGCTCTAGAAAATACGTATCAAAGAGCAATAACCCAGCAATAATTCTTCCTTTTTGAAAGTGRAGGTTAAAAGTCCAAGCTTGTAATTGGCATTTTACCAGTGGAGGACTCAGACAGAAGAGAGTTTTTCTATTAATGTATTATGGAAGATTGAAAAAAAAGGTAAAACGTTGTGAGTATTTCAGTTTGATTTTAAAATATCAAGAAAAACTGAGTGGCAATCAGACACTTTTTATCATCTGGGCAAACTTTTGATACAGGACAAAGTTAGGACACTGAAGCAAGCAGAAACATATGTGGGAAATTCATTATTCCTCTATGGCTGTGTAATTAGAGAAGAAGTAGTCTTTATGTTCTGTTCTTACACAGAGGATGAACAACAAGACAGTTACAACTTGACCCAAAATCTGGTTTAGCTCTATTTTCAAACACAGAAGAGACAAGAAAAAAGGAACACAGAGGCCTTATTTCCTGCCACAAAATCTTCTGGTGCCTACCCTTCTCTGAATTTTTCTGTCTGTAAATGAATACAGTCAGGTCTATTGGCTTGGCAGATACCCAAGCCAAGGCTTGGTTGCAGAAATCCAAGCCAACTCTCTTGTTTGGTTCAAGCTTGGCTCTACCTTCAGAACTTCCTGCCTTGTTACAGCTTTATTTTTACAAAGAGAGAAAGGTCCAATAAAGCACACGACATATAGAATTCATAATCCTGCTTTGTACAGAACTCAATACTATATTTGTTGTGTTGGATTTTACTTTCAAATCAAAGAAATAAAAAACGTACATCAATATAATAAGCTTTCAGGACACTGCAGGTGACCAGGACCTATGTTAAATACTTCCAGTCTTTGATATTGTGGTCAAAATGAAACAATGGATTTAAATGGCAGAGCTTGTGTTTAAAAGAGTTTTCATGTGAAACTTGAAGTGATTAAGAATACATGCAAGCAGTCAGAAACACAGACATGCATATTTATCTTGGCACACAGATGTGAAAAATGGTTACAGCCTGGCACACTAACTTTTCTCCTGCTGAAATCCTGAATCCTAAATCTACCTGAAGGCCATGGAGATCTCTTTGCCTAAGGAAGGATCATGYCTTCTGGTTAAGAAAGCACAAGTACTTGCATCTACGTGCATAACATCTGCACAAGTTGTACAATTTTCTTTTAACAACAAAATGGACAGTTTTATGAAAATCTGTGGTCTGTATATTACCCATTTTTAGAAGCAGGTCACTGAGACTAAACAAGTAGGAGCTGTACAGAACTTTGCACATCTACTTTTTAAAAAAATTTTCTTAAATTTAWTATTTTTCATTTGTATTATATGTCAGTGGGGATCAGAGCCTCTTCATGCTGGGATTTGTGCAATCATATAATCAAAACCAGATACAAGTTCACAGCCTAAAAGTAAGTATTCTAGTTGCTGAAATAGAAGGCAAAACCAGTGGGTTTTTTGGTATTTATTCAAGCAGTAAATTGCTGTTTTCCTCTGAACACTTTGCCCACCTTTAGATAAGGCCACTTGCTGTTTTGRGGCATTCTTACTGTGCCTTACTTCTGCACTGCTGGCTCCTGGACAAGATAAACTATAGACCAACTCCAAAAAGTCTTAAAAAAAAAAACCAGCCTGCTTTTGGTACGAGCATGGTGGTTTGGGGGAAGGGGATCCTCTGTGGCTGCCAGCTAGCACTGTTTCATTGGCCTGAGTGAAGTTCCGTGTTCCTCCAGCTCAGGACCTGATTCTGGGAGTGAGGTGACAGTGTGCAGCTTGTCTACCTTCACAATAGATMGACAGACACTTCAAACAGCCAGAAATCACGGCCAAGTCAGGGCAGCAGCGAATCCAAGGCGGTGCATCTCTGCATGGGCTGTGTAGTTCTGTGAGGAATTTTGCTGACCACATCTGCATGGCCTGTGTTTGGTTTGGAGCATGGGCAGCACTGATATCTGGCCACGAAAGTACTACAACCATGCTCCAGGTTATTCCAGTTTTGGTACTGTACTCAAATCTTGACAGGTTTTTTTTTTTTTTTTTGGAAATTATCTGTGGGTCCCTGCAGATATGAGGAACTGCTGCCATTGCACTCCTTGAAGAATCAGAAAGAACTAATAAACCTGAAAGTTTCGTGTAAGTTCATTTATATTCACACTTCTATTCATTAAGACTTTTTAGGGAAGAAAATATACCAGTGAACAGGAAACAACTGTTCCTCCTTTAACTCTCTGAGCCTTAGGTGGCACTTTCATGGCCTTTACTCATGAAGGCTCATGAGATATTGCTGAAACACTGAGCCTGTCCTGAATTACTCTAATCCCTATTCTACCTATCAGGTCAAGATTTCCTCTACTGCAGTGAAAATATATGTAATTTTAAAGGTGATCAAAAACCCCTCTGATGTATGTAATCCATTAAAAAATATACATAGGGATTTCATCCTCACTTCTTAGGCACCTAATATGGTCCATATAATTATGCTTCATTTTTTTTCCTCACATCCATTTTCTTTTTTTTTATTTTTAATTTGACCTCCTCTTTTACCCTACTGTAATTCATAAGGTCCATGGAGCTTTGCCATGTTTGAATCCCATTCAAAACAATTTCTATTAATCAACAATCCAGTGGAAAAGATAAGATGAATCCCAGATGTCCCTTGCTGGTGATAGGTAGATCAGATTTCATGGGACAAAAGAGGGTCAGGCTTTTTAAAGTTTACTTAGTGGGTGAAATGTAGAAGACCCTAACTAAGCTGTGATAGGTGGAAACAGTGGAGGAACTTTAAAACAGTTTACAATATATGTGATTGTATATTTGCAGAGGCCAAGAATGATTTACTATACCTGGAGCTTTTCCTCTGTGCAAAAAATGAACTAACAAGTGGACTACTCTGTGCAGCATCTGACAGAACAGCTTATTGAACCGGTTCCATGAGGTACTCACGGTGTTTCAGCTTCACTGATTTCCCTACTGAGAAAGAAAACCTCAAGTCGGGGCTTGTCTAAGACCAAG